TAAGGTTAAGGTCAGAGGCCGTGATTCACAGCAGCAATCAGACGTGGTGGTGGTGTGATGGTCTGTATCGGGTCTGCTTCAGGGTTAAGTTTTACCACCACATTACCACCAGGGGTGCTGCAACCAGGTATTATGCTTGGGGGTAGTTTTTGTCTCTTAATAAATTATTTATTATTTATTTATTTAACTTATGTTTTTCAGGAGGATAAACTGCTTGAGATGTAACATCTCGTTTTCGAGCAGGTCCTCCTACAACACAACCAATAACAAATAAGGTGGCAGAGTTAGAAAGTTATAACAGACTTAAAAAAAAAGAAAAGAAGGAAAGTAAATAAATAATAATAGTAAAATTAACGATATGTATAAATATATATATACACACACATAAGCATGGATACATAGATACCCACACGTGTACATACGTACATGCATACCTATATACAAAATTTAATTAAATAAAACTGCTGTGAGGCACTCAAAGAGAAATAAGGGCAAGAAATTACATCGTAAATAAACCTAAAGTGAAGTAATATCCCAATTTTATACAAAGTTTGGCAACAAAATACAGCATGTTAGCCAGTGAATGCACAAAATCATTATAATAAAGATTAAACAAAGCAACTACAGCTTGGCTTTACATAAGCATGAACAGTGCGGGAAAATTGTCGAATTGTTGAGATGGATCTTAATTCAGTGGTTAATTTATTCCAGTCCAGAGGAGCTTTAACACAAAAGGCGAGTCTACCCACCTCCTTTTTAAAACGAGGAACAACAAATGATGGAAGAGTAGTTAAGCGGGTGGAATACAAGGAATCAATGGGAGCCAAAAGAGTTTTTAGATTAAGTGGAAAATCAAAATAAATGCATTTAAACATAAATATCAACCAATGAAATTGTCGTCTAGCTTTTAAAGGAAGCCAACCAAGAAGTTCATACATATAACAATGATGAGTGTTAAATGAACACCGCAAAATGAAACGACACAAACTGTTGTAGACGACATCAAGAGACCGCAGGCTAGAAACTGTTGAGTTTTGGTACAAAATATCAGAATAATCAATAATCGGCAACAGAAGCTGAGTGACAATGCGCTTGCGTACAGTAGGTTCAAAGCAATTTATTGAGTTGTAAAGGATACGTAAACTCCGTGTGACCTTAAGACATGTCGTGTGAATGTGAAATTTAAAAGACAGCTCTGGCTTCAGCCAAACTCCTAAATATTTCATTTTAACAGAAGGATGAACCGGCGAGGAATCCAAAAAATAAAGATTAAGAGTACTGTCTCTGTCAGATAGAGTACTACATCTATGAAACAGCATGGAGTAAGTCTTTGATTTATTTAAAAGAAGTTTGTTCTGAGCTAGCCAGAGCTGCACTTCGTCAAAATTAGGCTGAATAGCTTCTTGTAATTTGGATTTACTCGACTTAGAACAGTATAAGACCGTGTCATCTGCATATAACTGAACAGAACAGGATCTGCAGCACCGTGGTAAATCATTAATAAAAATTGAAAATAATAACGGCCCAAGTGAAGAGCCTTGGGGAACACCTCTGATGACTCCTCGCGTGTTGGATTCAGAACCATTAAAGGAAACAAATTGAGAACGATGATGAAGAAAAGAACTAAACCACAGAAGAGACGGCCTTGACAGACCAAAAGCATATAATTTATCTAAAAGACGAGGTCAAAGGCTTTTGTTAAATCAAGAAAAATTGCACCACCAAATAAATTATTGTCAAAACCAGAATAGATGTCATTAGAAAATTTAAGCAGTGCAGTAGTTGTCGAGAAGTTTTTTCTGAACCCCGATTGGTACTGTGATAGTAGGTTGTTGTCCTATAAGTGTTTAGATAGTTGGATAAAAACCAGTTTTTCAAATACTTTACCAACTGTATTAATTATAGCAATGGGTCTATAGTTATTAGGTTCAGATGTATCATTTCCTTTATGAAGTGGTATTATATTAGTACATTTCCAAGCTTTTGGAACAGAACATGAGTTAATAGAGTGATTAAAAAGAATAGATAATGGTAAGGCTAGAACATCAGCAGCTATCCTAACAAAGCGACTCTCTATGCCATCTGGACCTGCAGTATTCCCACTAGAGAGAGACAGTATAACTTTACGCACTTCCTATGAACGAATTTCAGAGAAAGAAAATCCACTGGAGCAACAGTGAGGCAAGGTGTAAGACCCATGATGTTCTGCAGAGGCAAGGAAAGGAGAGGAAGCAAAGTGCTTACTGAATGCTTCAGCAATTTCAGCCGGGTCATTAATAAGACTCCCATTAACATTCAGATGTGAGATTTTAACATTAGTTTTCCCCCTCAGGTCTTTAATTTTATCCCAGAAGCGCTTAGGGTTATTTATATCCTTATGCAAACCATTCTTATAAAAATTAGCTTTAGCATTCCTAGTTTGGGTAGTACAGAAGTTTCTTAGTTTTCTATAAACTGTCCAATGCTCATGCAGATTGCTAAGTTTTGCTACTTTCCGCGCTTTGTCTCACTTCTTAAATAAAGCAATTAATTCATGAGAAATCCAAGGCAAATGGCTGCCCTTAATTTTTACACTGACCCAGGGAGCATGTTTATCAAGAACCTGCATGAACTGAGAGTGGAAAAATGCCCAAGCATCATTAATATCAGGTATAAGAAACAATCTATTCCAATTCAGAGACTGCAGCTCCCGTAAATACTGATCAGTGTTAAAAGTATGCAAGTCACGAATTCTGATAATCTTAGATGGTGTATGTGGTAAAGAAATTTTCCAGAAACAAAAAATAACAGAATGATCACTAAAACAGTTGGGCAAAACGCTGTAATCAGAAAATCTATCTGGGTGAGTTACTAATATCCAGTCAATAAGAGAAGAGTTTGTGGCACAAGTCCTAGTTGGCTCAGAGACCAGCTGTGTCGGATTTGAGCTATTTAAAAGAATACGTTCTGGAAGAGTAGATTCATCAAGCCAGTTAAGATTGAAGTCACCAAGTAAGATCAATTCCATTGTGTCTCCCAACGAATCAACCGTTGCTAGTAAATTTTGTATTGCTTCAAGATTAGGGGAGGAGGGGGGGGGGGGGGGGTAGATGTTGCCAATTATAATGTGCTTATTTCCATTAAAAGACATTTTAGTAAGATGGCTTCGAAGTGAAGTGGTTTGACTGTCGGAACAATAACCTGAGACTTCAGTCATCATTGTAAACGTGTCCTGTTGATACAGGAATGAGAGGCCTAACTAACTACCGTCCGTCCTGCTGCGTGAACTCTATGCTGCAGACTCTCGCTGCTACCTGGGAACTAGCAGTGATTCTAGAAAAGTAAGCACATTGAGTAATCTAATCCTTAAAATGCATCTGAAGGTGTGGAATACTGAAAAACATTTGAATGATTATTTCTGATTAAAATCGGTCTCTAAGGTTTTCATGCAGGCTGAACATGAAAACAGTCTCCTCCACCTGCGTTAGGTTCTGACAGAAAATAGACGGTGAAACTCTAGAATTTGAAAATCCTGACAGATCTACGTCACGCTGTCACCTACGTTTATGGACTCGCCCATCTTGACTCACGACGGGGAAGGTTGTTGTTAGTTTAACGTCCAGGAAACAGCAGAAGACTTCTCAACTAGTAGAAGCTAGCTGTTAGCATTAGCAACAACACCACACAGAAAAACTCTTCAAGGCTTGTCTTATTTGTGGAGATTAAACATCAGCCTTGCAAAGTAATCAGAGTCAGTGGTAGAGTTGTGTTGCTGTTATCTAGTCTGAGGCGAGATGTCCAAATATCAGGAAATAAAACTCAAAAATCTGCTGTCTGAGGCCCAGTCCCAATACTCGCACTCCCAGAGCATAGGGTGTCCAGATTCTCAAGTGCAGAAGTGGATCAAGCCCCTTTTGCACCCTTGATCCGCACTTCACCCAGGTTTGCATCATTAGGGTGACCAGACGTCCCGCTTTGTGCAGATAGCATTATCATTACTTTTCACACATCTAGCGAATTGAGACTTATGCACCGCGTTATTGGCAGTCTCGCATTTCGAGTTTCAATCTTGCATAAACTGCGTGGAGAAAGCTGCCTGTTGCTGACAAACTAGGAGACGGGACTTTAACGCAGGTCCAGAGCATGCACACGAACCACCCAAACAGAAACGTCGGTGAGCACGGCAGGTAGATGAGCACGGTGGAGAAAATGCTGTCAGAATAAAGACTTGTGGGTTAAAAGGGTTCAGACAGACTCTTGATAGTGTCCATGTGATGTTTCTCAGAGTAATACTACTAGAGACCACTGCAAATGTATTGATTGAGTGTTCGACACCGTGATAAAAACACACAATATTAAAACCGCTTTCAGGTGTAGCAGATTCTTAATATTTTCCACCTGGAAATAAATGATTGCATGTCAGATGCTGAAGAGAAAACTGTGTTTGTGAATTTGACCAGGTGGCAAGTGGCTGGTTCAGGAGCAGATGATTGTGACATCCCCCTGCAGCTGAAGAAAGTACTCACGGCCACGCAGAGCGACGCAACTCAAAATGACCACCAGGTATTTTCCAGTGAGTTTCTTATACAGGTGAAACTCGGAAAATCAGAATATCGTGCAGAGGTTTGTGCAAACGTTCGTTTACGCAAACACAAAAGTTGCCCAAACCAACTGCTGAGTAGATTTTTCTAGCTGGCTGACATTTCTCTATTTAAAATTCTTGTTTTATTGATTCAATGCAAAACTCTAATTTTCCAAGATTCTGAATTAGGCTTTTCTTAAGCTGTAAGACATGATCATTACAATTTTAACTGATAAAGGCTTGAAAAATACTGCCTTTCAAGTTATGAGTCCATCTCTTAAAATAATTTCACATTTAAAATGAACTACTGAAATAAATGAACGTTTGCGCAATATTCTGACATTTCACCTGCATATGCATGTTGCCATTATCCATCACAATCATAAATGATTCCAGTAGAAAAGAAAATCCAGCCAGTTTAAAAGGATGAAAGTCTTACCTGCCACACTATCAGAACAACGCATGCAGCAAATGGAATTAGCACCAAAAGTAAGGGAGTTCTTTTGGACCAGCTGGAGCTCCGACTCTCCTCATGACCATCTGCAGGAAGATGGTTATTATTAATACATCAGCTGGTATGATAGCAGACCTGTTTTCTGTCTCCCTGTCGAAAGTTCCATCATTCACTCAGGGTCACCTGGAGTTAGCCGACGGTTGATGCATGGTGGTGGCTTGCAGGAGAAGCCTGAGGTTCCTTGAGAGGCTGCATGTAAGAGGTCTTGGATGTAGTCGAAGTAAAGACCAGACAGCAAGTTCTCCTCCTGATAGTGACACTGGAAGACCTGCATAGCTGTTTCCTGAGGGATCAGCCGACAAACTACCCTGAAATCATTCACTTATGCAGAACTACAATTTTGCACAAGTCTGTTTCAGCTCAAAGAACACATTTAGCTTTAATGCCATGCACCACTCCACAAACACGTTAAATCACTTGGCTGTGTGTGGGAAATAAAGCTGCTTATCACCCACCAGTTCTTCGTGGTCAAATGTGAAACGTAGGCTTTTCAACATGGCGACAAAGACAATTAGGTTATCTTTGTTGGAGGAGACGGCACCAAACATGTTGGACAGTTTTCGAAGACTTTGCTCCAGAGGATAGATATTTAAAACCACCCAGCAGGTGCCAGCCTGTGACGAAGACACAAACATTTATCTGACATAAAACATCACAAGCATCTAGTTGCTGATTGAGTATGAGTGGTATGTTGCTGCTACTACATACCACTTCTTTGGGAATGAAAGTGACAGGAATCTCATAATCAGAGGGGATGTTCTGCTTCTGAAGAAGGAATTATCACAGAAAACAACAGAGCTCTGGTGAGGAGACGTGTGGTCATCGTGCAGCACGTTTATGGCGTGACATGTAGGTCAGCAGTCTCACCAGTATCGACAGCTTGCTCACATCATCAGTTATTGGGGTTCCAAATTTCCCAGAAGAGAGGTTTAAAGTTGAAAACAGACTCAGGAGGAAACAAGTTGTGTTGAAGATCTGAAGCAGACGATGTATTAAACGTTAGACATGATGCACCACCTCCACTGCACAATGAGTAAGATAGTAAATAACTGCTCATTTTATTTGTTGACAAATTTTGAATTCACTGTAAATCAGGTTAATCTGAAATTTGTGAAACATGTTTAAAAAATAAAAACACAGTGGTGCCTCGACCAAGGCTGCCACTGGTGTATTTGTGCACAGGAAATAACAACCCTGCATGCATGTGCTGAAGAGGGTTGTGTAGCCTCACCGGCATTATAAAAATGGATGCTGTGCTTTGCAACAATAAATTACGGTGAAAGAACTGCAGCTGATTATTGATGCAGCAGGCTGTCACAAAATCAAGTTTATGCACAAGTGCATGGGTATTCTTTAAAGCATTAATCTGCTTTTATTTAAATTGTTTGGTAATCTGTGACAACTGGTTAAAATGCATTTCAGATAAAAGGTTTTAGCTGGTTTAGGAGATATATCTGGCATTTAAAAAAGGATTAATTACATTTTTTCCAACAACTTAATTAAACATTTAAGGATAGAATTAAGGAATTAAAGTAAATCAGCACATTAAAATAAAGGATCATTATTGACTGATATATGATCCAGAATACCTGTTTGGATGTCTTTTATTATGATCTATAAAAACAGTTTTCTCTGTACTTTCCGGTTTTAAATGTGCAGAAGCCGCACAATTTAGAGCAGCGACTGCAGACCTCTTAGTGCATTAAAATGCTTCAGATGCTGCTCTGGGAGGCACTTTTATAGAAGTGTTGTTGATATTTTATACTATGCAGAACATTTATTTTCTACATTTAAATAGGATCAAATGCTACATTTTCCTAAAACCAAGATGACAGAAGATAAAACTGTAAAATGTGTAAAGTAAAAGTTATTTTTTTGCAATCCAACACAGCATTATTATACATTTAGTCAATTCTTTGTGAAAAGGAAAAAAAAACACTTACTTCCTTCCTCATATGGAGCAAGAGTCCAAAGATTCTCAAATCCGGTGCATAAAACTCAGCATCTCCAGCTCAGAGGAAGAACTCATCTTTGTTTATCTGCGTCCTAACATCCAAATGTGCAGAGGAACTTGAGGACGGCCCAGCGGTCTGCTTTGACTTCAGACAAACTGGTGGGGTCTTTTTGACGTGGTGGAGAGGCCGCCCACTAGCTGAGTCATTATGTCACACTCTGACGCTGTCTGAGACTTTTCCATAAACTCCCACGTATCAGTTTGGTCATCAGGAGAAGTGGGTGCTTGTTCTCCAGAGAGAATATTTCTCCAGGAGTATGTTAGGGTTATTCCCCAAGCTGTTGTTTGGAAGAGTGAAAATACCACAGCCAGGGAGAATTTGAATATATGCTCCTTTAAAACAAATCTTTATGAAATGACCGAGTTTTAGAGTATTTATCATGTCTTAGTGGATTACGTGGTGGCCTGGACCTCTTCTGTTACTGGATATGTTTTCAGTGAGAACAGACCCAGTTGCCAGATCTGCCCCTGATACTCACTGATAAGTGAACCCATGTAAAAGCCATTATCCAAATTGATTTCCATTACCAAATCAATAGCAGTCACAAGGGATAGATTGGGGAAATGAAGAAAAGCAAATGATTTCAAAACGGTTCACTTCCTGAGGAGAGTACTCGGTCTGCTCTGCATCTTCTCTGGGGGCTTTAGTTTCCTCCCGCAGTCTGCAAACATTAACAGCCCTTTTTCTTTGTTGTCTTAAAATAATGACGGGTGTTCACTGTGTCTTCATAGAGTGATTAAACAAGGATGACCTGAACAAGTTCATGGTTCATAAAGGAACCGGTGGTACGATTCCTTTAAAATATTTATATGCAGTAGCTCAGGAGGTAGAGCGGGTTGTCTACTAATCAGAAGGTTGCAGGTTTGATCCTGGCTCCCGCCTGAGAATGCTGCTGTTGTGTCTTTGGGCAAGACATCTAACCCATCTTGCCTGCTTTGGTGGTTTGAAAGACCGGCGGCGCCAGTGCTCCACCAGTGCGCCCCAGGGCAGCTGTGGCTTCATCGTGGCTCATCACCATCAGCGTGTGAATGTGTGGATGACTGATTATGATATGAAGCACCTTGGGGGTGACGCAATACAAGTACGGGTCATTTACCATCTTTTATTTACATTTTTGTGGTTTCATTGGCTCTTGTACAGGTGAATTATAATGTCGAAAAAGCACCAAAACATCATGTTTGAGGTGCATTTGATTCAAATCCTAAATATTAAATATGTCTGCTGAAATAACTAAATGAAATAAATGAAAAGGTCTGGTGGTAAACTTTAGTCATCACCTGGATAAATAGTAAAGGCATGAAACAAAAATAATACAGAAACAAAACATTGAGAGGAGCCAGTTGAGGTGGCTCGGGCTTCTGGTCAGGATGCCTCCTGGACGCCTCCCTGGTGAGGTTTTCCGGGCATGTTCACCCGGGAGGAGGCCTAAAGGTAGACCCAGGACACGTTGGAGGGACTATTGGGCCATTCCCATCTGTACCGGGTCGGCCCGGGCCGGGTAGCGTAGGTTGTTTACATATCTGGGTGACCTGGTATCTTTCCGGGCCAACCAAGGCTCATTCTCAGTCCTCTTCTCGAGGGGGTCTGCTTCAGGCCGACCAGGGCCAACACACCCACTGCTGACAGCAAATTCACACCTTCCATTAGAGCAAGCCTCTGATTGGTGGGTAGAATCAGCCCACATGGGCTTAAGACAAGGATGTGTGGAATCAACTGGGCCAGGCTGGGGCTACCCGGCCCGGGCCGACCCGGTACAGATGGGAATGGCCCATATGTCTCTCAGCTGGCCAGGGAACGCCCAGGATTCCCCTGGAGGAGCTGGCCCAAGTGGCTGGGGAGAGGGAAGTCTGGGCCTCTCGACTTAGGCTACTTTCCCCCCTTGAGGTGCCGGATGGTGGACCAGAATCTCCTCGAAGCCGTACGGAAGTCTTGCTCCACGGTCTCACCAAACTCCTCCCATGCCCAGGTTTTTGCCTCCACGACCACCCGAGCCGCGTTCCTCTTGGACTGCCGGTACCCATCAGCTGCCTCTGGAGTCCCACAGGCTAAAAGACCTGACAGGACTCTTTCTTCAGCTTGACAGCATCCCTAACCGCCGGTGTCCACCAGCAGGTTCGGGGGTTGCCACCACGACAGGCACCAACAATCCTGCGACCACAGCTCCGGTCGGCCGCCTCAACAATGGAGGCACGGAACAGGGTCCATTCAGACTCAATGTCCCCCGCCTCCCCCGGAACATTTTGGAAGTTCTGTCGGAGGTGGGAATTGAAGCTCCTTCTGACAGGAGACTCTGCCAGACATTCCCAGCAGACCCTCGCGATACGTTTGGGCCTGCCTGGTCTGACCAGCATCCTCCCCGCCATCGGAGCCAACTCACCACCAGGTAGTGGTCAGTTGACAGCTCCGCCCCTCTCTTCACCCGAGTGTCCAAGACATGCGGCCGCAGGTCAGATGAAACAACAACAAAGTCGACCACTGAGCTGCGGCCTAAGGTATCCTGGTGCCAAGAGCACATATGGACACCTTTATGTCTGAACATGGTGTTCATTATGGACAATCCATGACTGGCACAGAAGTCCAATAACAAAACACCACTCGAATTCAGATCGGGGGGCCGTTCCTCCCAACCACACCTCTCCAGGTCTCACTGTCATCGCCCACGTGAGCGTTAAAGTCCCCCAGCAGAACAAGGAGTCACGGGAAGGAGCGCTCTCCAGCACCTCCTCCAATGTCTCCAAAAAGGGAATAAAACAGAAACAATAAAAATGATACAAAAACAAAAATAATACAGGTATGAAACATAAACCTAGCCTGACTAATAGATCAGAAAAGAACGATTTCATTGGTGGTTTGAAGGCTTTTGTGGGTTTTTAAACATAATTTGGGTCTTGTTCATTTAAAATTTGCTATTGGTAGCAGTTTCATGTCAATCATGAGTGAAAACTTAAACTAATAAAAGGATGTTTATTTTAGAACTAAATAAATTTTATGTCCTTGTGAAGCTTCAACTGAACGGTTAGATTTGTAGTTCACATTGCCTAATGCTGCTGTTTGCTCCTCCAATATGGCACTGATATGGTTGCTATGGTTACGTGGAAACTCAGCTCAAAAGACCAACAAGAGTGCGTTTATTATTCAAATCATCCTCTTCATTACCACCTGTGAAACTAACACTGTTCTTTTAAAGATAAGATTTTAGCGTAACTAATCTCGTGGTGGCGCTGTTGCTAACACTTTAGCTCGTTAGGAAAGAGATTTGTCGGGATCATGTTGCCTATTTATAATGAAAACAAACAACAATAAACTGGTTTATATGTGTGAAAAACATCTGGAACTACAACAATAACCAAACTGAACGTGGATCTGCGACAGAAGATCTGGGTCTGTGATGATTTGCATGTCAAGTCTAGCGTCAGCAGCCAAACAAACGTGTCGTGTGGTTTTTTTCTACTTGCCACAGTGCCACAGTGTTGCTGTTTGGGGAGTGCAAAGATGACAGGCGCACCATGAGCTGAGTCAGGTCATTTAAAGGAGGTCACTCCTAAAAATAATCCAGACGGCCCAGAGAGGAACCTGCAAAACAAAAACACGGGTCGGAGAGCTGAGGGACGCTTCCTCAGACCAAAAAGGTGAGATAATAAAAACTTTGACTTTACTCCGAGGCTTCTGCTGCGATAAGTGACAAGTTTATACTACTGCTCACCTCTGACTCAGGTTACTGCATGAACCATGTCAGTTAACAAGCTGAGGACAAACTTAAGAGACATGGGACTCCAGCGTGGTTGAAGACTCTTGCAATAACTTTGAGACCATTTTATTTTTGTTGTTTCACCTTCAGACATGGATGACCTTGAGCAGGAAGGCATAAACCAGGAGCTGATTGAGTTTGCCATACTTGAGAGCATTCAGGATGCCTACAAGCTTCCAGGTTCAGTACGAACGGACCGGTATGAATGAAATGTGACATCATTAACTTAGAGTACTCTGTGTTATTGATGGAAATTTACCTTTTGCGGAAATAAAAGATAAACATTTACAGTAATAAAGCTCTTGTGTAGCATTTCTGAAGAAAATACTTCCTATATTTTTATAGGAAACAAACAAACAGTGAAGACTCCACAAAGATCATGGCAGCCATTGCCAAAGGTGAGATTACATGCGTGCAAACATTAAACAGACTTAAACACTTTGTTTTCACACACGTGTGCACCTCCACAGGGGATGTGGATTCTCTGCAGGAGCTGTCATGTCGTGTGTCTGCCTTCACAGAGAGGGACAGCAGCGGTTGGATGCCGCTGCATGCAGCAGCTGTGCAGCCACAGCTGGAGATCCTGCATGTGGTGCTGCAAGGTCTGAGTCCAAAGCAACCGAGAAGAGTGTGAATAAAAAATAAATAAATAAAAAAATCCTTGGTGTAGCAGATCTGTTCTTGTTTCTTTGCAGTAATGTTATCCACAGACCTGACTTTGGAGGAGCAGACGAAGGATGGAGACACGGCTCTGAGTCTGGCTGCAGAGGCTGGTCGGGTGGAGAATGCTAAGATGTTGCTGAAGCATGGAGCTTCCCCGCACACCACCAATGACAGGAACGAGTCTCCTCTGCTAATCGGTAGCACACACTACCAAACAATCACTGCAAACCAGCAGTTGGAATCCAACTTTCAGCTTGTTTTGATCTTCTCACAGACTGAGCTCTAGTTTGGTTAAAGTAGTCAGATTTGGGCCAGTTTAAACTGAAAATAGGATAATCAAAAGAATTAAATCAGGTATTTCTGACAGTGTGCGTCCATAAATAGAATCATTTGTGGCTGCAAGGCTGAGTACACATATTTATAGTTCTTTCTTGAAATTCCCCTGCTGTTTTTTGTTTGTTGTATGTTTTCTCTTCTCTAGATGAGTTTCCCCTTCAGCATTATCCAGAAAGTTCATAATCAAAAGTTTATGCTGTGTTTATAAATATATTTGAATATTTACCCACCTTTCACACATCACAGCAGTGAGACGGAGCTCGTATGACATGGTCTTATCCCTCATCCTGGGCGGGGCCTTTGTGGAGCAGGTGTGTCTCACTAAGTGGACGGCCACCCACGAAGCTGCAAAGGTGAGCGGTAGTTTAAACATCAAAGAACTCAACATTTTGACACAGTTTCTTCTGTTTTTTTACCTCCTTCTTCATTGGATGTGTCACCTTCACACCAGGTGGGTTGCCCAGCAGTCCTGATGCTGCTGCTTCGACACGGCGCCAAAGTAACGTCCACAAATGGTCACGGGGTGACACCTCTGGGGATCGCGGCCGAGCACGGCAACACAGAAGCTTTGGAAATACTCATACAACATGGTGGGACACAAATATGCAAAAATGCCTCATCTTCCCTTCTCTGACTGTGTTGTACTTCTTCTGCCCTCCTTTAGGGGGTGATGTGAACGCCCAGGCCTGCAATGGAGACTCAGTTCTGTATGATGCAGCTGGCTCTGGAAACCTGGACTGCATCAAGCTGCTTTTGGAGCACGGAGCCAACCCAAACGTAGCCAGCTACGCCTGCCAGCTGCCCATCCACAGGGCTGCATACGAAGGCCACATACTGTGAGTTCCTCCTCATTTACTGAGGCGGTTTGACTTGATGATGACAGATACAGCGATAATTCCAATGCATCAGGACATAACAATCTAATCTTAACAGATTTTCAAGTTCCAAGAAAATTTACATGAGTTTAAATCTTTTTTTTATCCAATCAATCCAGCAACAGAGACAAACACCACAGCTCTGCAGCATTTTCTCTGATGCAAGCTCCACAAAGAGCTCTCTGTTGATCTGTTTTTCAGTTCAGCTTCTAAATAAAACCACAACTCCAACCACGACGTAATGAGCTTTTCCCCTGTCCTGTTTTATGTTCCTCAGTGTCTCTGTTGCTCCCTCCTTTCCTGTTTTCCTCCCACTCCTCTCTGCAGGGCCTTGAGGACTCTCATCCCAGTCACTACAAAGAGAGCGATCCGCCTGTCGGGTCAGAGCCCGCTCCACTCAGCAGCCGACGGGGGTCAGGCTGAGAGTCTCGCTCTGCTCATCCAGGAAGGTTATGACGTCAACGCCCTGCTGGAAAGACACATCTCTGGTAGATCATCTGCTGCATTTAACAAGCCTGTAAATTTGTTTTCATCCAACATATTATTGCGACATTATTACCTACAGAGAACTACGATGACCTGAGAAAAACTGCTCTGTTCTTTGCCGTTTCCAACGGTGATGTGACCTGCTCTGAGCTGCTATTGGAAGCTGGAGCCCAAACCGATCTGGACCCTCTGAGGTGCATCCTGGTTGCTGTACGCGCGGAGAGGTCTGCAGCATAACTGAGTGCTTTCAGATTGATAATTTCTGTGGAAAAAGCAGGCTGATGAAGTCTTTGTGTGCAGGTTTGAGTTGGTGCAGCTGCTGCTGTCCTACGGAGCTGATGTGAATTGTTACTTCAGAGTGATCAGCAACACAGTGTTCCCCACCGCCTTGCAGTACTGCCTCAGAGACCGCGTCATGTTGAGACTGCTGCTCAACAGTGGATATCAGGCCTACAAGCACGTATAAACTCTCACAGGCCTCTTTAGTAGGTACACCTGGCTTGTTCCCGGTAGCATCACTTTAGATTGATACGACTGCAACAGTTGCTGCAGATTTGTTGGCTTCACAATCCTGATGTGAACCTTCTGTTCCACCACATCCCAAAAATTCTGGACCGGACAGAGATCTGGTGACTTTGGAGACCAGTGAACTCATTATCATGTTCGAGAAACCAGTTAGATAGGATCTGATCTTAAAGACTTGAGGAATTATCCTGCTGGAAGCAGACAAGTTTAATCAGCGCATCTCCTCCTCTCCGCCATCATCTGATTGTTGCAGCTGACATCCAGACTCATCAGACCAGGAATGGGTTTCCAGACTCTTTCCTGTTCAGTTCTGGTGACACAGTGCGAATTATAGCCTCAGTTTCCCGTTCTTAGCTGACATGAGAGACACCTGCTGTGGTCTTCTGCAGTTGGAGTTCATCTGCTTCAAGGTTTTTATTGTTCAGAGATGGTAGATGGTTAATGCAACTGATGCTCACTAGATACTTTTCTATAAAGCCTATCAAAGGTTGTGAGTGAAAATCCCAGTAGATCAGTAGTTTGTGTAATACTCAGAGTAGCCTGTCTAGCATCAGCAACCATGTTATGTTCAAAGTCACTTAAGTCCTCTTTCTTCTCCGTTCAGGTAGTTCTACATTGAGTTTCTGGAGCTGAATTGACTATAATCAGTAAAATACAATAATCTCTCCTGTAGATGCTTCCAGTGTTTCCATGGAGACCGTGAAGGAGTGGACTCTGCATGGGCCGACCTCCATAATCAAGCTTATCGCATTTACAGCCAACCGATCATCATCTCGGTAAGAGATTAGACAGACATCCTCTTCTGATGCTGTTTTGAGTTTAAATGATGCATTTGACTCCTTTTCAGTTCTGCGAGTTTGTGTCAGTGTCGTGGCTGGCCCATCTGGCGGGCAGCGTTGTTAGGGCCCTGCTGGACTACGTGAGCCACGTCGATATTTGCTCTAACCTGAAGCGCATCCTGAAGAGGACGCCGGAGTGGGATGAGATTTCTGCTATACTGAGTAAGGGCACAAACAGACCAAAGAAAAATACACACAAAAGGCTAAAATAAATCCTCTCACTACCTGGAGGTTGTTTGTGTGTCTTTAGACGAGCCCCGGTCTCTGCAGCACCTGTGCCGACTGGTTGTCAGAGGTCAGATGAGCATCAGGATGCTAAATGACCCAGAGGCCATGTCCGCTGCTCCTTTTCCTCCCCGGCTGATGAGCTACCTGACCTACAGAGAATACAACCTGTACGGTCAGCTCTAATCCTCGTGGAATGCACCTTCCTGAGGAGAAGCACCAATCAAAAATAACCATAGATTTGAATGTCCTATTTTGCGTTTGTATGCCTTTCTATACATGTCTTGTTTTCTGTCTCTTGTATAATATGTTTAAAAATTCCATCAATTCAGCTGAAAAGTCCACGTGTGGCAATTAAGTAAAAACATTAACAACCGACAGCTTTTTATTTGATTTTTTTTAGCATTTTAGTAACATCAGTAAAAGCATTGGGGTGACAATGGCACAAAAGTGAAGTGCTCACCCCGTAATTGAAAGGTCGCAGGTTCGAGCCCCGCTCAGTTTTGTCCCCGTCTTTGTGTCCTTGGGCAAGACACTTAACCCACGTTGCCTGCTGATGGTGGTCGGAAGGACTGGTGGCGCCTGTCACGTTGAGAAGTGGAGGGGTAAGACCCGATGTGCAGACACCCAGAACGACACGGAGCAGGAGAGGATGTAAAATGAAACATCTTTATTAAGATGATGAGTCCAACGAAAAACAAAGCATGGTACGAAGCCAAAAAAATACCAAGTAGGGCAGAACCAAAGAAAACCTAGTAGAGCATAAGCCAAAAAACCTAGAGACCTAAATGAACCAACACCACACTGAGACGCAGACAGGGTTAAATACACTGGGGCAGGATGAGTGGGAGATGAGCTGCAGGTGCGTGGGGAGAGAAACCTAGTGAAATCAATCAACTAATCAGGGAGAGGAAAGTGAGAAGAGGAGGGGAAAATAACATGACCTAAGTATAAAAACAAAACCTAAAGACAAGAAGAGCAAGATAAATAACTAATGATCTAAGGAGGGAGGAGAACTAATAAACCGGTGGGGAAAGAAACACACTAAAAGAGACAAATTTAATGAAAAGCTGAACCTATAGAAAAACTACAGAGGGGTGACTAGCGGAGACCAACGGGGGCACAGGACCTGGGTGGATACCGGGGGTGGGGGGGTGGGGGTCGGGGGGGGGGGAATGTGGAGGGGCTGCAGACAAGGGGACACATGAGGAACACAAGGAGACACATAAGGGGATCCTAGAGGGGGATGAAGAACACAAGGAGACACGCAGACCATGACAGCGCCAGTGCTCGGCAGCCTTGCCTCTGTCAGTGCGCCCCAGGGCAGCTGTGACTACACCATAGCTCATCCCCACCAGCGTGTGTGAATGGGTGAATGACTGATTGTGTTGTAAAGCACCTTGGGGGGTTCCAGGACTCTAGAAGGCGCTATATCAAATACAGACCATTTACCATATTTTATTGATTCAAGATTCCATTTTGTTGTTTTATTTAATTCTGTGACCCCCCCCCCCCCCCCCCACACACACACACTGTTTTTCTAGACTGAATAATTTTGTCTCAATACTTTCAGATGAAGAACAGCTTTTTAAAAGTCTTTCTAAACTAGTTTCTGCATTTTTAAAGGAATAAAATCCAATTTTTGTGGCCTTCCGGGACTTTTACCGTGACCATTTTGCTCCTCCTCTTGAAATATTTGTGTAAAAAAGTTGAAAACACCTACTTGTTGGATTAACACATTATCCGAGTTTAAATTTCTTTTTTCTACGGATCTGTTCGGTCCAGCAGATCTTTTTTTGGCCGTGAACAAAGCCGCCCAACTCATAGTGACGGACTGTCACAATGACCGGCCGCTGAGCTCACAGGCTTTTTGTGGCTCTGCCTCAGAGCTCAGAGACTCCCAAAAAAAGACGCTGCATCATGAGGCCTACACTTGGTACGTTCCCCTCTGATCCCTCTCTTAAAGCCTAAACAGCAGCTGGCCAGATTAGAAAGGAGAGGACGGGGAAACACACACACATCGTCTCCAGTTAAGACTACATTACTCTTTCAATTTGTACAGTTCTCCTTGGCATGGATCAATATTTCTGGACTTGATCCCCTCAGTTTATTGATCTCCAGCAGCTTTAATCTCCAAACCTGGACATTCTACACACTTTATTCTAGTTAATTGCCGGCTGGATTCTCCTGATCAGGCTTTGGACATGAGCTGTTTTGGGTATCGCCGGGAGCTGAGTAAGTATGAAGATGTCGATGAGGACGAGCTGCTGGCTTCACTTAGCCCGGAGGAGCTGGCTGAGCTGGAGAAAGAGTTGGCGGACATTGATCCTGACGCCAACGTGCCCATCGGACACAGACAGAGGGACCAGACGGATAAAACTCCAACAGGGACTTTCAGCAGAGAGGCTCTGATGAAGTACTGGGAAAACGAGACACGTAGACTACTGGAGAACGAGATAGGAGGAGGAAGCCCCAAACCAGTAAGTGATAGCTCACAGCTGAATTTATTTGAACAAACTATTTGGTCGCACTGCAAATGAAACCAGAGCTGTTTCTCTGATAGTTAGGCTTCAAAGGCCAAACGTTTAAAGGCATACGTAATGTGTCCAAACACAGGATGAAGAACAAGAGGAGGGCAGCTTGACACGAGACAGAGAAGAGGAGGAAGAACAAAATGACGAGAATGAGAAAGAACGTAAAATAAATGAACATTCAAAAGAAAAAGATGAGGATGAAGATGAAAGTAGTGATGAGGAAGAAGAAGAAGAAGAAGAAGAAGAAGAAGAAGAAGAGGAGGAGGAAAGTGAGGAAGAAGAGGAACCTGTAACAGAAGAAGAAGAGGAGGAGGAAGAAGATAATAAATCCAAACCTGAACCAGTGATCGATTCAAATTCACTCAAAACCAACAAACCAACGTTTCTCAAGCTTCAGAGGGCGGAGCCTATCCAGCTGATCCCTCCTCCTCCTCCTCCTCCACCTGTTGACCTAAATGCAAATGGGAACCCAACTGTTATTGATGACGCTTTTCAGCGAGTCCTCAGCAACGACCTCCAACTCACAGAGCTTAATCTGAACAACATCGACGACATCTCACAGGTACGATGACTTTAAAGCATCTTCAATCCTGAGTTCAGTGTCAAAATTATTAAAACGGGTCCAAAAAGCATCAAATTCAATTTTCTACTAAAATCTGTCTAGTATTCAAAAAAATCAAATGTATGATAGAACAAGTCTCATTATTCATCATCACATGCTGGGGAATTTACATCTGCGCATTTGACCCATCCCCATGGGGAGCAGTGAGCTGCAGCAGAGGCTGCGCTCGGGATCGATAAACCCCAATCCAACCCCGTAAAAAGGACATCTTCCAGTTTTACATCTCATCAGTGAATCCTACAGGCTAGTGAGGTAAATTTGGAGGGTTGCAGATGTTCCACAGTTTCTCTAACTGCAAGCCTTAGTTAGATATTGGCTAATTGTGAATTTAAACTGCTATAAACAACACAAGCACACACAAAAATAAATAAATAAATAAATAGTTTTGCATCTTTCTGAACAGAGGCTAGATTTTGAAATGTTTTCCTAACATCGATTTTCTGATCTCTTTGGTTGCAAGTAGAAATTAAGCAAAAATAACCTAGTCAATGCTACGTTTAGCTAACGCTGAGAGAAATATGTGCAGAAACTTGTAGAGTTTAATGAAAAATAAGGTTGGGAACAGTTTCTCAAAAAATACATGACATTAGCTTAATAATGTTCTTTTTTTGGTTACTTTATTAAGTATCAAATTAAAGGTTCCCTGAAAAACGTACAATAATTGTTCTTACTGAAATACGATCTGTCACACATGCAGGCTCAACCCATTGCCTGCATAGGGAGCCTAAATCTCCTCCCTTTCTGGGCGGCTCACGGGTCCCTGGAAGAACAAAAAAATTAAGGCAAGTCAACGGGGCTAAAAACGCTATTTTCTAATCCGCTTTGCCTTACGCCCTGGATCACACATATGTTGAACTGCACTTTAAATGAAAAGTAATGATGGGTGTTTCGACCACGCCAGTCACATACTTTGAGATTTATTAGCTTGTAAAAGTTCATCATTAGCATAACTACAAACTAGAAATCGGCACGTCGCATATGTGACGTCACCACATAATCTCCTCTCCCCAAAGTAGCTGCTACTTACCACATAACCAGATTTATGGTGGTTCTTTCCTCCTGTGGGAAGTTTGCTGAACTTACAGGCCTTTTTCCTCAGTTTTCTCCGTGTCTGGTTTGATGACTTCACTTTCGTGAAACACATTTGTAGTCCTGGACTTATTTTCACACAAAACCTAAAATAGCGTTTCCCCCTGTTCGAAAATAAGCGCGTTCTTTGTATCAAAATGTGTCTTTAAAATTTACGGACGCCATATGTGAAATCCATGGCACAAAACAAGCGGAATTAGAAAATAGCGTTTTTAGCCCCACTGACTTCCATTCATTTTTTTGTTCTTCCGAGGACCCATGGTCCAGAAGTAGATGGGTGACTTAGGCTCCCGTCGTTGGGAAACAGAGGAATTCTTGAGGCAAAAGCCAGTCTCTTCTATGACACAAATAAATATTTGCATTCATAGATTGGCCTACCTTGGTTTGCAATCAGAAAGCAAAGCATGTCTTGGCTAGTGGAAGCTTAACCTTAGCATTTGCAACTCCACAAAGGCAATACATTTGCTTATCATGAATATTAATAAAGTTTTCTGCCCCTGACTCCTCCAAATAAACAGGAGCACCAGAGCTTTTTTCCACAGAAAATGACTCAAGCCATTAATTTATACTTAATATTTATAATTAGAAATATTTTTATAAAAAAAATTTTATTAGCTCATTCAAAAAAAAAATCAATAAACAGATGGTTTAATAAGGACAGTCTGGTATACACACCTGGAAATCAAAACATTCATTATGATTTTCTTCAGCCTTGTCTTGGGTGAAATTACTCTTTAAAAGAACAATACAACTATAGGTCTTATAGTAAGGATTTAAAACATCTCAAAGTTGAACACGTTTGAATTATTCTCTGTATGCTGTTGTTGTGAAAAATCCCTCTGATTATTTTACAGGAAACTCTTGTTCGATTTGCTGAAGCCCTGAGATCCAACACCCACGTACGAGTCTTCAGCCTCGCGAACACCAGGGCCGATGACTACGTGGCTCTGGCCATTGCTAAGATGCTGAAGGAGAACTCGTCCATCACCAGTCTGAATATAGAGTCCAACTATGTGAGTGGGAAGGGCGTGATGGCGCTGGTTCAAGCACTCCCTGGGAACAGCACCCTGACGGAGCTTCGGTTCCACAACCAGAGGCACATGTGTGGCGGACAGGTTGGTGTCGTGTCAGTCCAAATCCACCCTCTCCCCTCTGTCTGATGTCTGATTCTTTACCAACCTCTGTACAGGTGGAAATGGAGATGGTGAAGGTTCTGAGGGAAAACTACACTTTGATCAAACTGGGTTATCAGTTTAATCTTCCTGGTCCCAGAATGAGCATGACTGGGATTCTCACCAGGAACCAGGACCGGCAGAGGCAGAAACGACTGCAGGAGCAAAGGCAGCAGCAGGGGGTGCAAGATGGAGCTGTGAACCCTCGGACATCTGCACTGGTTAGCAGCTTTACTTCCTGTCCCACTGGGAAGCGTGTCCTACTCCACCAGAACCTTCTTTTGTAATTCTTTACCTTTCTCTTTAGAGAGGAACACCTGGTTCATCACCCTACAGTTCCCCCTGGTCCTCCCCCAAACTACCCCGAAACGACATGGTCAAAAAGCAAACTCCCCCCGCGCCACCCCCTCCTCCTCCCCCACCCCCTCCACCCCCACCCCCTCCTCCCCCTCCACCAGCTCTCCCACAGCAAGAGAAGAAGAAGCCCACCAGGATGATCGCGGAGGTCATCAAGGCCCACGAGGCGGGAAGCAAAAAAATGTCTAAATCAAAAAGCAAGAAGGGTAAGAAGACGGGGAAGGATGAAACGAGGAGCATCCTGAAGGAGCTCAAGAACACCTTGAGACCCGTGTCGGCGGAGAAGAGAGGGGAGGAGGGCAGCAGGCCATCCACGCCGATGAGGTCTGCCCACGATCAGCTGATGGAGTCCATCCGTAACAGCAGCATCCGCAGCCTGAGACGGGTGAGAGATAAGAAGTTCCTGCTAAACTCTCAAATATCAAACTAATGTAACTTATTCAAGGAGAACACAGGCAGTGGTATCTGACTCATCTTAGTGGCTGATGTGGTTGGTGCAGTCTCTGCTTGGCAGTAGGTTTTTTGCCACCAACTCAGTGCTGCCCCCAAGAGGTGGCAAGGGGGGGCATGGTCCCCCCACGGGGAGGCTCCCTATTTAATGAATCATATGTATGTCACACAAACCATAAACGTATCCTCTTTACCACACCACACCACACCAAAACCACACCACACCACACCACAACATAACATAACATAACATAACATAACATAACATAACATAACGTAAATCCTCTAATATTAGCCTGTATTTAATTAACTGCCGGGTATCATATTTTGGCCGGTGTTGGAGTCGGCGGAGGTGAATAATGGCTGTTTTTTATTGTGGCCGGGTGGAATGTGGTAACAAGCAAGTACGGGGGGCGGTTTTGTCATCCGTCTCACTTTTGCTTTGCCAGTGATAGACCGCGAGGGTAACATTAACCGTGCGGAGACGAAGAGGAGGCGAAAATTTGATATCAAGTTCAAAGAAAACGTGCTGATTATGCTACAGAACACTCTGGGGAGCAGTAGCAGGGGTTGTATGAACTAGTCAGTAGTCGACTTCACCGCTCTATAGTGACTTTTTATGCCTGTCATCGACTAGTCGCTGTCAAGTGATAATGACCGGCAAGATAAAGTCCTCGGAAAAGACAGCAGCCTGCTGTCAGCAGGTGACAAGCTCCTGCGTGTCGGGAGGCAACGCGCTGTGCCACAGCGTTGGTACTGACACCCGCCGTAAAACGGACATTTAACCAAATTGTGACCTTTACCCTCTTGCAATTTAACCTTCCTCTCACCCCCATTCTAACCTGGGGCGATGGTGGCACAGGAGTTGAGTACTCGCCCCGTAATCGGAAGGTTGCAGGTTTGAGCCCCGCTCAGTCTGTCGCTGTTGTTGTGTCCTTGGGTAAGACACTTGACCCACGTTGCCTGCTGGTGGTGGTCAGAGGGACTGGTGGCGCCAGTGCTCGGCAGCCTCGCCTCTGTCAGTGCGCCCCAGGGCAGCTGTGGCTACATCGTAGCTCATCCCCACTAGTGTATGAATGTGTGTGTGAATGGGTGAATGACTGATTGTGTTGTAAAGTGCCTTGGGGGGTTCCAGGACTCTAGAAGGCGCTATATCAAATACAGGCCATTTACCATTTACCATTTAACCAGCTTGCGCATGCAAAGCTCTGATTGTTGACGCGCTCCAGAAATCTGCGTCCTGAGCACGGCCACAGTAACATTATCAAATCAGGTGTCGCCACCTCAAAAACAAATTTAACACGCGATCGTTCATGTCGGCTCATTTCCTTTTATGTTTTCTGTCTTTTATTCATTTATTTGTGCCTGATGGTTTTCACTGCTGTGGATCGGGGCGCATCACCTGTTTTGTCCTCAGTGACGCACCTAACTGATGTGGCCGGCGAGCAACCCGCTGTTTCTGAGGTCGGTAGATCTTTTAGAACTGCAGTTCAAAGGTAACTCATAAGGTGAATATATATGAACCCAGGTAGCAGTTTTTCTTTAGTATTGAGAGGAGATGCAGGAAGATAATAAACAGACAGGACAGGAAAATAGTAAAATAAAAACAAGTTAGTTTTTGTACCTGGTGGTTGCAACAAACAGACACCATTGAAGGTAATCAGAAGTGAGGAACAGAAAATGAAATAATTATTTTAATGTTTAGAGCAGCAGGAACTCCGAGAGACTGCAGGTGCATCAGTGAGTTTGCGGCCGCTGCGCAGGGGGAGGGGGGAGAGGGCTGAAGCAGAAACTACCGTTGTGAAAAGAAATGTGTTTAACTTTGAAAATGTGGGCGTAATTTTAATTGTCAAAAACTCCAGCGAACCATTAGTTCATTTTGCTCAAATAGAAATTGAGGCCTGCCTCTAATTCTGGCCCTCCTTCCAATAAAGGCCTGGAGCTTGATGAGCTTGAGTCAAATACAGGCCCGGGCCTGTATTAGAGGATTTACGGTAACATAACTAACTAACTAACTAACTAACTAACTAACTTACTAACTAACTAACTAACTAACTAACTAACTAACTAACTAACTAACTAACTAACTAACTAACTAACCAAAACATAAATGTAAAACCCTATAAAATACACAATCAATGAATAAATAAAAAAAGTCATAGTTACAGAAATGTGTATAGGTCGTTGTTGCTCATTAAAAAAAGTTATGGATAGTTAAGGATAAAGTTAAGTTAAAGATAAATTTCCATAGTTTTGAGGATGTCTCTGGAGGTAAATGCATTGGATGATTATTGTTTTTATGATGAACATTTGACAGCCACAGGCTAAACTGTCCCAGAGCACCTATGAAGTGCTAACCACTATTGTCGTTGCAAGTCAACTGTGCAATAGCAATAAAAGCTTTGAATCGAATGAGTTGTGGGAGACGGTGGCAGAGAGGAGTTAAGTGCCCAGCTTGTAACCAGAGGGTTGCGGGATTGAGTCCAGCTCAGTCAGTCACAGTTGTGGAGTCCTTGGGCAAGACACTCCACCCACATTGACCGGTGGCACTAGTATTCAGCAGCTTTGTTTCCATCAGTGCGGCCCAAGGCAGCTGTGGTGACTTTGTATCTCACTGCCACCAGAGTGTGAATGGGTGAATGTGCTGTGAAGCGCCTTGGGGGGTAGTAGGACTCTAAAAGGTCATTTACCATTTTACCATAAGGACCGATTTGGTGTGCCACCCCCAACACTTTTTCTTGCCTGATCTAGGCCCCCTGTGGAAACTTTCTATGGGCACCACTGCACCAGCTCCCCCTTTGGTTTGAACATAGGCAGCAATGCTCTGTCAGGCAGTGTACTTTTACCCTGAAGTGGATGATAACCTGAAACAGTGATAATGAAACTGAAGGGAACCATTACCTGAGCCATGGTTTGTTTAGTGTAATGTGTTGCTTTTACATAAGAGGAGGCATTAGCGTTGGCTTTTCAGCAGCTCATCACATTGTTGTGGAAAATCATCTCTGCCCTCAGATAATGGGGGTCTCTGGGTGTAGCTGTTAAATTCCATCCTCTCAGTGCTGCAGGTATTTATAGAAACGGTTCTCCGGAGCTTCGATAACAGCACACATGACACTTAACCGCACCAACAAGGCTGGAAACGATTGCCTTGGTGCAGCATCTAAAAGACGACCTTTGAGGTGTTGATCGGCTCCTCGTGATAACTGCGAATATGTTCTTGTTATTTTCCAGGTGGAGGTGCCGCGTCATCTACAATAAGAAAGCAGAGACTAACTTGGTTGAAGCGTGAAAGACGAAGATGTGTGATTTCTGAGAAAATAAATCAGAATTTAAAGGATTTAATTCAGGAAATTTGCACGTTATTCACACTAGAAAAAGAATTTGATGTTATTTTCAGATATAGTGACGACTTTGTTTACTTTCTAATTGTATGGAATATTGTAAATATGTTGTTGATGGAACTGTATGGATTTCTAATTATAGCCATAACATTTTTTAAAGTTTGGGAAGAGTTTTCATTTTTATTTTATTTTGCTTTTATTTAGGAGGGAACCAGGATGATTTCTGTATTTAGAGAAAGTGGCCAAGCTGACACACACACACACACGCATGCACACGCGCACGCACGCACACACACACACACACACACGCACGCACGCACGCACGCGCGTGCACGCACGCACGCACACACACACACACACACACACACACACAAACCTGTGAGTCAGCACTCTGGTGTGATGCCACTGATGCAGTCCTTCTCTGACACACTGAAAACGCCCACTCCTGTTAGCAGTTTTTGCCCACTTTGAACAATTCACAACGCATAAAAGGAGAGAATGAACGCTCAACTGTGACATCAGTGTTGATAAAAAGACACTTCAAGCATCAGGTTGCAGATTCTTCCTCCACAATGAGCTAAATCTGTAAACAACACTTTCATTGAGTGTTTTTACAGGGTATCTAGTTTTTATACGTAAGACGTGACGTTCTTGTTTAGTTTTTTAAAGCAACTTATTATTTTTCTTAAATGACTGAATATTATGGTATTTCATACCAAATTGAACTGAAATGAAACTAAAAATCCAGAAAATTCAAAGCTTAATAAAAATATTTTCATAAAACTTCAGTTTTTAAAAAACAATTATTAACATTTCTGACAATATTTTAAAAATTGTAAAACATTCACATCCTTTGGATTTTGCAACATTTGAAAATGAATCCAATATTTTGTGCTCATTTTAAACAATAATAAAAAAAGACAGACCCCCAATTTCACCAACAGCAACAACAAATTATTTAATTTATTTATTTGCAACATCATAAATGTGGCCTGATCGGTGTGTTATTTCTCATTTTCTAAAGCAGGCGCAGTCTTGTTGGACAAAAACAGTAAAATAATCAAATGAACTCCATGTTTAATTCATTTGTGTAACTAAAGTTTGTGATTTTATTTTATTAAATTTATTTTCTATAAAATTGTATATTATTCTTTATGCCATTATTTAATGTTCATCATTGTTATCCAACAGAATAATAAACTAATATTCAGGTTAGTTATGACAATATTCAAGTCCTGCAAATGAAATGAAATTTTAAAACAAAATATTCTCCATTCTGGACCGATCGTTTTACTGTCCGTCTGCCAGGGGACCCAGCTATGAGATGTACATCTGTTTGAGTATTGTATAACTTTTACAGCATTTTTCAAACTTTCTGCTGGCACACACACACACACACACACACACACACACACACACACACACACACACACACACACACGCACACGCGCGCACACACACACACGCACACGCGCGCGCACACACACACACACACACACACACACACACACACACACACACACACACACACACACACAGTCATTCTGCATTTTTGATGCAGCAAAAATCCATGAGCAAAAACAAAAACTAAGTGCATTGGAGCTTTCTCCAAATCACTAGTTTTATGCAGGTAAAATCCTTAATGATGTGCTTCTGCTGCTGTTCTGCATGTCGGCCTGACAACCCCGACGTGTAACACCAGTGGAAAGTAACATAGCTGCTCTAATCCTATAAGCTTTTCAGCCAAAGTGACTGATGCAGGTTCAGCTGATGGGAACATCAACTAAAAATAAATATCAATTCATCCTGTTCATTAAATAAAAACAAAAACAGCAATAGAACAAATAGTTGTCTCCCCTTTCCTCTTCTCTTACCCATACTTGTGCCCTCTATTTACGACGACTGTTGTGCCACAAAGTGGATTTTTCTCTACCATTCTCCATCAGTTGCCACCTGCCTCCACCAGGTATAATAAACACCTGTCTCATTTCTTGTGGACATCAAAAGATCATTGAATTACACAAGCTCATGTTTCTCAAAGGTAAAAAGCTTAAAGAGATAACAGGCCAGACAGCTTGTCACCCAGAACATAACCAAGGCCTTTTGTTACTAAACTAAGAGAAGAGTCATGCATCTAACAAGTAGCAACAAAAACACGAGAATATTTAGGAAGACTGAGCTTTATCATTGCAAACTGGAAGTTTATTTTAGAAGACAGTGTTATGTGATTGTACAAATTAATTAGTCCCTTTTAATCTCTAAATTAAAACTTAAGAGTTGAAATAAAGTGTTGTTATAGGTCTCTTGTAGCAGAGATAATACAGATATATTACCCTAAGTGTGTAGCGGTAGCTGCTGCCAAGAAAAAAACAATAAAATAGTAGATTAAAAGCATGCGTTTCTATTTATCCATTTATTTAAGCAGTTTAAGCAGCATTAGAACATCTTTATTACTAATCACAAACAGACAGTAACCAGGATTAGCAGGTATTAGAATAAAGGATGTTTTTAATGTAATTTAAATACAATCCAGGTCAAGATATTGAGTTGAGAGTAAGATGGCGCTCGCGCGGGTGCACGCTGCGAGCTGCTCGTCCTCTTTATGCACTGGTACCTTGCTTTTTACTGGTTTTTATTGGCGTTTTGTTGGCTTTTGTGCATTTTTGTTGTCTCTGATGCTTTTTTTGAATGGTGTGGATTCTCTGCTGACATACGATCGAGCTGCGCTGCTGAAGCTTCGTCCTTCCGTTGATGTAGTGGGCAGCGCGCGCTGTGAACCGGGCTGCGCCAGCTGGGAACCTCACGGATAGTGCTGCTGGTTGGACTGCCCGTTTGCTCTCTCCCCCCAAGCCGTGATGTGTCGGCCCTCTGTCCGCCCCAGCTCGAGAAGGAAGCATCGGAGAAGACGGGGAAAGAGAGGTAGCCGGCGCGTGAGACGTCAGCCTGGATCCCTGAAAAAGCGACCAGCAAGTCTGAAGTTGCAAGTGGAATAATGGAGAGGGATAATGTTTTAGTGGTTAGCTGCAGTGTGCTAGACGATGGCCCCCTCCATGAGGCCACCACAGCTCAGCAGAACATCGTTGTAGCTTCTTCTGGGGAGAAAAACACTTAGAGAAAAAATAAAGTTAACAGCTGAAATTGCAGGAAATAATACAGTTAAAGAGCAGATTGTAGAAGAAAGTAGTGGAAAGTAGTGTGGAAAGTGGTCAGTATGTCCTCCAGCAATCTAAGCCTATAGCAGCATAACTACAGAGATAACTCTGGATAACCTAGCCTTTTTAGATGGAGGCATGTTGGAGGCAGGGCAAGGGAGAGTCGCCTTTACCGACTGTACACTCCACCTCCCTCTACTCCCCCACTTGTCCAGATCTAGGCTAACATCAGATTTTAACCATAGGCCCTATCAAATAAAAATGTTTTAAGCCTAGTCTTAAAAGTAGACAAGGTGTCTGCCTCACAGACTAAAGCTGGGAGTTGGTTCCACAAGAGAGGAGCCTGATAAATAAAAGATTTGCCTCCCATCCTATTTTTAGATATTCTGGGAGCCACCAGTAAACCTGCAGTCTGAGAGCAACGTGCTCGGTTAGGAATGTATGGAACAATCAGGCCACTGACGTATGATGGAACTTGATTGTTAAGAGCTTTATATGTGGGAAGGAGGATCTTAAAATCTATTCTGAATTTAACAGGCAGCCAGTGTAGGGAAGCTAAGACAGGAGAAATAAAAATGTCCTGTTTGGCTGTGAAGCAAACAGAATTAATGCCTGAATGCTGGTGACAAGCCTTACAGATTTACTCTCAGGTGGAGCATCAACACCTGCTTTAATGCCACGCCTGACACTTAAAACTTTATTGTTATTGTTTTTTGAATGCTTTGTAATTCCGACCAGACATGGAGACAGAGGTGAAAGAGAAAGGAAGAGACAAAAGGAGGGGTGGGGTTCCACAAAAATAAACAATCAATAATGAACAAGAGTCTGCTTCTAGACCTGCAGAAAGAGAAAAACAAACCAAAAAAAGGGGACACACAACAATACAACTAGAGCAAACTATCACTGCATTAACCTGATGAGGAAATATAAAATCAACATTGTTTTACTGAACAATCACACGATAATAAATCACAGTGCATTAAGTGCCAACCACAACCTTAACCCTCACCCCGGCTTTCCACAGGAGCCGTCAGCAGCACGTTACTGCAGCAGCACGTCTTGCTCGCCTAAGCTGCTGCTTGGCCCTTCCCACGAGACTCGAAGCAGCAGGGGAGCAGCTGTCACGACAGAGCACGAAGTCACACGAGTGACTTTGTCAGTAAACACAACAACAAGCAGGAGAAAATTACAACATGGTTTGTGTTTTATGTTCTGTCCGTTTTATAATCGCCAATACGGACCTGAAAAACAAAGGAGACCGCTAGCTAGGTGGTAACTTCTCACGGGGCCGCACAGTTAGTAACCTTTTTTAAAAGTAAAGCAACCGGAAGGCAGTACGTTCTTTATTCTGAAAATCTCGGGAGCTTCTCTCCATTTCCGCGTCCGATTTCCTGTCTTTCCTTCCCCAAAAATGTCGAAGTTGACCCGTTTCAGAGGCGTCGCGCGTAGAAAATAGAACCGGCGCATAAAGGCCGCGACATGCTGCTCCTGAGACGCGGCCGACTCACTCTGCTGACGACTCCAGTGGAAAAGGTTCTGTTGACCACAGCGGTTCCTATCAGCAGCTATGACGTGCTGCTGCAGTAACGTGCTGCTGACGGCTCCTGTGGAAAGCCGGGGTCAGGCTTCACTTTAATTTTCATACAAAAGGGTCATTAGAGGACAAAAATGTCCGCTTGTAAAAGTGGCTATAAAAATGTATACAGTAATATTATTTTTTTTTGCTTTTTTTTTCATAGATCTGTTGAAACACTTCAGCCCTGCCCAAACATTAAAAAAATTAAATCCTTTTGAGGATTTTAACCATTGAAATGTCAGTTTCAAAACTCAAAGTCATTGCTGTAATTTATTAAAAAAATAACTGAGTTATTTTCTAAAAAAGAAAAAATATATATTTTTTTGCCTGGGGTGTTTAGTACAAATCAGTTTTGATAATGTTATGAAATATCTAAAATTTTGAATTTTTTGCATTTATATTTTTTACATATTAACAGATTTAAAATTTAC